TTTTCGCATCAAATCCTGTGGAATTTTACTTAAAAGGCACAGAAGAGCTGCCCGACAAGTGAGGAAAAAAAATTGCCAATATGCTGAACATATATTTGAAAAAAATGCAATTATATTTTATCCTTTGAAGCTTATATTTCTTGAAAGAAAACGGAAATGATTTATGAGTCACATTAAACATAAATCCTGCTCGTACGCTTCGTAGACGGAACAAACCGTGTCAACCATTATGGCTGTTTCATTCTTAGAAGCTTTTCTATACGATTGCTTTTCCGTATAAATCATATGAAGTAAAGAAATACCAATAGAAATCCTATGTAATAATTGTCTGCAAGCGAGTCTTGTACATCGTTACTGCTGCAGTGTATTTTCCAAGTCGTAGAATAATCTACATATATAGTTTTGTTTCGTATTTAGTTAATATCAAATGAGGAAGTGCAGGTGGTGTAATTGTCAGCAGCTTGGAATGAGGGGTCAGCGTGCCGCGTTCTAATTCCGATAGAGATCGTTACGTATCATTCCGCACTAACACCATTCGAAAAGGCTTCTACTCCCAACGTCTAGTTAAGCTCCGCGTCAGACTGGACTACATAGCTGTAGTTGGAAACTAGTATAATAAAATGGCAATTCTGAATGGGAAACCATATGTGGCCATAGTGGGCTATAAACATGAACTATAACTAAGGTCGACTCAGTGTTTTTGCAGTATAAACCAAAGGTTCGCTCCATGGGTGTTAAAGAATCCCAAACGGATCTGAACAGTTGGGTATACTCGGAAACGAGCAGATATACTGAAGATGAGATGTCAGACGGATTTCATATCGAAACAAAGTCGACGTATATTAACTGCAACTCAGATCGTTTCTTGAACTATTACTGCTGCAATGAATCTCCGCAAGGAAGATGAAAGTGCGAACCAATGATAATACAAAAGGTTTGCTTGATTTTTAAAGGCCCATTAACAGTTTGTGGGACATTTAAAAACGAAACATATTTGTTTTGTAAGAATGACTCACATTTTACGAGTGAATATTGCTTTAAAAATTCCTTTAAAATAACAATGATTTTTCCAGAATCCAGTCCTACTATTTAACCCATATCTGGAGGGACGAGATGGATTTTCCCAAGATTATTTGCACACAGATGAATATAAGAAACATAACTGGAATTCGAACATCGGCTCGTTTCTTAAACCATTACTGCTGCATTGTCACTGCAGCATAATGACAGAAAGATCAATGATAACAAGTGGTTGATTGATCTACGCTACCTAGACATTACGAATTTAAGCACAGAATTAAATTAGTAACAAGATTTCATCAATTTGCAGTTGAATTGTCTTTATGTAAGTCATATGTTAACAGTTTATTTTCTCTTACGTCTCGCTTGTGGAACTCTCCCCCTGCTCCAAGCTATCCAGCCAAATTTGATCTGCAAAAATCTAATGTCAATCGCTATCTAATATCTTCCTGATTACACTTTTGCTATTCTCGCTTTAAGCTTTCTATTTCCTAATTCTTTCACACCGCGTAACCCCTTATGTTTTAGTGGCTTTATTGCATTGTATGCGGGGAATTTGTTTAATAAAAACATAATGAAGCAAGAGGGTTTGGAAAATTTATACTAGGAGGACATATTGAAGGTAAGAGCGACGGAGTCAAGCAAGGAATAGCTGACATAACTAGCTTGTGTTAATGGTTGGCAGAACATGTATTAAGAAACATAGCGAAAAGAAAAAAAAAAGTAGTAAGGGTTTAAAAGAACAGGAAGTTGTGCACAGCAATGATCATCCGTTTTCTGAAGAGACATGACATATAGAAAAAGAAGCAGAAGAAGGAAAACCGGGTCTGTGTTTTAAGAATTAAGACATGGCATATCATTTAAGACATGGCATATAGAAGAAGAAGCAGAAGAAGAATCACCGGGTCTGTGTTTAAGAATTAAGACATGGCATATCATTTAAGACATGGCATATCGATTAAGACATGACATATAGAAGAATAAGCAGAAGAAGGATCACCGGGTCTGTGTTTAAGAATTAAGACATGGCATATCATTTAAGACATGGCATATAGAAGAAGAAGCAGAAGAAGGATCACCGGGTCTGTGTTTTAAAAATTAAGACATGGCATATCATTTAAGACATGGCATATAGAAGAAGAAGCAGAAGAAGGATCACCGGGTCTGTGTTTTAAAAATTAAGACATGGCATATCATTTAAGACATGACATATAGAAGAAGAAGCAGAAGAAGGAAAACCGGGTCTGTGTTTTAAGAATTAAGACATGGCATATCATTTAAGACATGGCATATAGAAGAAGAAGCAGAAGAAGGATCACCGGGTCTGTGTTTTAAGAATTAAGACATGGCATATCATTTAAGACATGGCATATCGATTAAGACATGACATATAGAAGAAGAATCAGAAGAAGGATCACCGGGTCTGTGTTTAAGAATTAAGACATGTCATATCATTTAAGACATGGCATATCGATTAAGACATGACATATAGAAGAAGAAACAGAAGAAGGTTCACCGGGTCTGTGTTTAAGAATTAAGACATGGCATATCATTTAAGACATGGCATATCGATTAAGACATGACATATAGAAGAAGAAGCAGAAGAAGAATCACCGGGTCTGTATTTTAAGAATTAAGACATGGCATATCATTTAAGACATGACATATAGAAGAAGAAGCAAAAGAAGAATCACCGGGTCTGTATTTTAAGAATTAAGACATGACATATCATTTAAGACATCACATATAGAAGAAGAAGCAGAAGAAGGATCACCGGGTCTGTGTTTTAAGAATTAAGACATGGCATATCATTTAAGACATCACATATAGTAGAAGAAGCAGAAGAAGAATCACCGGGTCTGTATTTTAAGAATTAAGACATGGCATATCATTTAAGACATGGCATATAGTAGAAGAAGCAGAAGAAGAATCACCGGGTCTGTATTTTAAGAATTAAGACAAGGCATATCATTTAAGACATGACATATAGAAGAAGAAGCAAAAGAAGAATCACCGGGTCTGTATTTTAAGAATTAAGACATGGCATATCATTTAAGACATGACATATAGAAGAAGAAGCAGAAGAAGAATCACCGGGTCTGTATTTTAAGAATTAAGACATGGCATATCATTTAAGACATGACATATAGAAGAAGAAGCAGAAGAATCACCGGGTCTGTATTTTAAGAATTAAGACATGACATATCATTTAAGACATGACATATAGAAGAAGAAGCAAAAGAAGAATCACCGGGTCTGTATTTTAAGAATTAAGACATGGCATATCATTTAAGACATGACATATAGAAGAAGAAGCAGAAGAAGAATCACCGGGTCTGTATTTTAAGAATTAAGACATGGCATATCATTTAAGACATGACATATAGAAGAAGAAGCAGAAGAAGAATCACCGGGTCTGTATTTTAAGAATTAAGACATGGCATATCATTTAAGACATCACATATAGAAGAAGAAGGAGAAGAAGAATCACCGGGTCTGTATTTTAAGAATTAAGACATGGCATATCATTTAAGACATGACATATAGAAGAAGAAGCAGAAGAAGGATCACCGGGTCTGTGTTTTAAGAATTAAGACATGGCATATCATTTAAGACATGACATATAGAAGAAGAAGCAGAAGAAGAATCACCGGGTCTGTGTTTTAAGAATTAAGACATGACATATCATTTAAGACATGACATATAGAAGAAGAAGCAGAAGAACAACTGCGTCAGTAATTTAAGATAACATATTTCAAGAAATAAGCATAAAATATCTTCAAGTATATATACACGTTTTGCTAAAGAATGGCGGACAAACATTTACTATTTTCATCTTTCAGTATAGTCGACATATCGTGACCCAACCATGTCGTTATGAATAGATTTGACACTGTTGCAAATGAAGTAGGCTGCTAGCAATCAGATTTTTTTTTATAATGCGATGTTGTAAATTCCATTTCCATATCAACCTTTCTTTAATATAACCTGATGCATTGTTACAGGCTTTGTATATTGATCCATTTCCATTATTAAAGAAGAAAATAGGAAAAATAAAAACTCTTTTCATTCAACATTTCTGCATTCTTATTATTCTTTTCAGTATGACAGAATTTGAAATTAAACTTGAATGTAAACTCGGTTTTAATATTTTAACACAGAAACTTCTTCGTCTGATTTACATAATGCAGGAAATAGGAAGAAGTATTAATTATATTCGAAATTTTTTCAGTGTTAGATGAGGCGTTCAATCTTTTGTTATATTTACTGAATGTTCATGCCAATGATTACAATGTTATGCATACGCAATGGTACAGAGCGAAACAAATGTTTAGAAAAGCATCCCTTTTAAACTCAATGTGGCATTAAAAAAAAACACACGCATGTGCCATCCAGTTAAGACTGAACTCACCGCAGATGGTTAGTAAAATTAGAACGATGACATCCTAGCAAATTTGCAAACATGGCGGAACTTGATTTAACTGATTTTTTTTACTGCTTATCAACATTTTCAGGTTATTCAAAGCCAGAAAATATTTTTAAATTGTACAATTTTTTTTTCTAGGAGAGAATAATGATTTATTCAAGTCAAACTATTTAATCCATAGCTGGGAGAAGAAGTGGATTCATAAATTTCCTAGTTTCTTTATACGTAAGTGAATATAACGAAACCAACTGAAACTAAATCTCAGCTGTTATTTACTGCTTATCAACCTTTCCAGGTTATTTAAAGCCAGAAAATACGTTAAGATTGTAAGAATTTTATGTAATTTTTATTTTTGGAGATAATAATGCTTTACTAATAAATCCTTAGCTGGCAGGGAGAAAAGATGGATTCTTAACTTTCCTAAGATTATTTACGCGTAAGTCAGTGTAACAAATTGGAACTGATCTTGGAACTTGAATGGAATTGTAACTCGGCTCCCGGATTTACAATTCGGAGCAGTTATCCATGACACGCACATCGAAGCTTAGAGTATCCGGCGTTTCCAAGCGGTCACCCATCTCGTTACTGACCAAGCTTGACGTTGCTTAACTTCGGTGATCGTACAAGAACCAGCGTTTCAACTTGGTATGGCCGCAACCTAGGGTACTCAGGCGGTATCGAAGATATGAATTTAGTATTTCCGATAATTGCATCATAAGCAAAGTCTAATCTCAAAGTCACAAAATAGCATGTAAATGTTTATAAGACTCGATTATTTATGTACAAGAAACCATGCTCGTATAATGCGCACCTCAAAATTAGGGCCAATGAAATTCATGAAAAAATCTTGCGTATGATACGTAATGATTTCTTTGTTATAATTTGTCGCAGGTCAATTTTTATGATTTAAATCATATTTTAAAGACTAAATTCGTGCCTTTGGAACAACAAGCGCGCAGAGATGTTCATAGAAAAACATGAAAAGCTTGCAGAGGCAATAAACACGCATTAAGAAAAAAAACAAAACATTTTTTATGAAATTTCTTGCACATGGAGGTCTGTAAATGGAGTTAATACTATTTATTATAAACATAGCATTTACTTAAATATTTGTATCTATAAAAATATTGTATAAATAGATAATGTATTAAAATAATTATCGGACTCCATACATGTATATGGATAGATAGATAGATAGATAGATAGATAGACCTAGTGAGCAAGACAAACCTACCTAGGTTTCACCTAAACGGATCGTCAGGGAAAGTAAGCCTTACTTTCCCTGACAATTCGTTTAGGTGAAATCTAGGTAGGTTTGTCTGTCTCACTAGGTATATCTAGGTCTATTCTACGGTTGTATTGAGCGCTTTTGTTAGTTGTTTACTCGTATCGGTTTTTTTTCTTTGGGCTTCAGACCTGCATCTGTGCGATTTTTTTGTCGGCAGAAGTTCATGTTTGTAGTTCTTTCTTTTTTTAAAAACTTTTCCCCCTCGAAATTGATTTGATTATTAGCAAATCAAAAATTCGAGGGTTTTTCGAAACGAGTCTAGTTATCTATCTATCTATCTATCTATCTATCTATATATATATATATATATATATATATATATGTTTCATTTAAAACAACAACAAGGTACGACGGTTAAGCTTTTTATTTAATTTTTCTTGTTCTAACAAGAGCTTTCTTTTCTGTACAAAGGGTGTGTAAGAACTGTCCAAATGTTTTATATCTCCGAGCGCTTTCGGCTATACATTTAACCATTATCAAGGATGATTCGATTATTCAGCTTCATTGAGTGTATGCGTTATGTGTATATCTTAGTGTGTGGTAGAGATGTTTTTAATGTCCGAATACGGTTAGCACATTGTGACCTTGTTCGTAGTTAATATTGTTAAGAGTTGGCCTTTTTATTTTTATTATTAAAGCTTCCATTATTTTAAATATTTTTTGCAGGTAGATGCAGTTAATAAATTTGTGTTTATCCATCTGCAAAAAAAGATTAAAAATAAGGGAAGTGTTAATAATAAAGAAGAAAAGGCCAACTCTAGTATATAGTTATGAATACGTTTTTGTAAATCCGGATGAAACATATATATATATATATATATATATATATATATATATATATTAAAACATGGTTAATGGAATAATCTGGATGTATTATGTCTATTTATTTTAATCCTGACAAATTCTGTGATCACCGTCTTAATGTTGATATTAAATATTATAATAAATTAATGTTAATATTGATATTAAATATTATAATAAATTACTATAAGACATTTTACATTAAAGTTGGTGCATATTGTCGTTGCTATGTTGTATACAATTGTGCGATGGCATGTCTGCTCGTTATGTTGTTCACACCCACATGTATATTTTTAATACTGACCTTATACCTCCACCTTTAACTACCGAAAAAAGGTAACGATTTGATTTTAAATTACCCTAATAAATCATTTTTTACCACAAGTTATCTACCATCGCCTAAAGTACAATCATAGTATTGAAACATGAAAGCTCTTGTGTTGTCATGCAATATATTTTTATTGTAATTTATTGTAATAAAACATTATAATAACATTTTGGTCTACTATATACTGAGCACTTTTTTTAAAGCAAATACTACGAAGTGTGAATTTTTACTCCAGTTGTTCTTTCTCTCATTTGCATAATTGCATATATATATATATATATATATATATATATATATATATATATATATATATATATATATTATAAATTAATTGATTTAAAATATGTTTTTTTTTTCGCTACACAGTTCTAACTATGTTTCAAAAATGGAAGCTAAAAGCCCCGAATTTAATTTTGTAATTAAATTAAAGACATTAGTTCCATTTCATCCTCAAGCGAATTTTGGAGTAACTTTTAAAATTACTGGGTTTTAAAGACACAGCTAAAATCATAATTCATGTTTCCAAGGTTACACATGAATCAAATTTACCAGACGAGGGTTGTCTCGGTGACTATATTTTAATGTATCAGATATTGCTACGTTTTGGTAGTGGGTAGGGATGTATTTTTCAATGAAAAATACATCCCTACCCACTACCAAAATTCGCTATATGTATATCAATATAATATTAATTAAATCAATTAATTTATAATATTAATGCTGTGTAAATTTACAATGAGCACTATTTTGTAAAAATAAAAATATCTATAAGAACACCGGATTATATATCTTACTGTTCTTTTTTTGTTTGTTTATATATATATATATATATATATATATATATATATGTGTGTGTGTGTGTGTGTGTGTGTCAATTGAATTATAACCAAATTGTGTATATGTGTTTGTGCATCACATTCATTTTACAATATATTACTTCTTTTCTACACGACTGTGTATATTAGTGAATGCCTCTCGAATATTTGGTCTTAAAACGGAATTTGAAATCAATGTCATTTTAATACATTTTACACTGTTCTTTGTTCATATTCAAAATATATTTTATATAGTGTGTATGTCTTTGTTTACCTCTCTGCGATATGTTGAATTATTTAAAATGTTATGCGTAAAAAAATTTTCTTCGAAATTTTATTCTCAATATTCACTTAGCTTAGCTTAGTAAATGAGACATAAGGCTAAGCACGGAAATTTTGCCATTGTATTCAATTCGGACAACTTACCTGCTTCGGTTATCTTTATCGCTAAACATGCCAAAAAAAAAAGTAGGTTCCTTTACCGTTTTTCTAAGCGGTTTACTAATCCTGCTATGTTGGATCTCTACAGGATCTCAAAAACAAAACCGACAGAAAAGGGCAGCACCGGTCGGGCTGATGAAACCAAGGCGGACCTTGACAGAGCAATCATCCGCCATCCCGACGTAACCAAGTTCGCCAGATCTCGCTTGAGCCGCGAGGGAGGCGCTTATTACCAACTATGTGTGCTTTTCCGTCACGCAGAATTGTCCTGCAAAATCAAATTCACACGAATGGCCTCGTCAAAATCTTTTTAATTTTATTCGGTCCTTTTATAGTATATTGTCCTCATCCATACTTGATATATTGTGTCATTGTTTAATTTTTCGTGAGTAATTGGTCCTTGAAATGAAGATCTTTTTTTTTCATAGCGGAACAGAGATGTTTATTGAGACAAAAACTGAACGTACAACCACTAGATACCTAGATTCACTGAACTACCATTCTTGTTCACTATGTCCTTGTTACGTAGGTAGAAATATTAATTCTGAAGCCTAATTTCTATTTCATTCCGAATCAAACGCCACTTTAAGAAGTTTCTTTATACAGAAAGTTTAATGAGGAAGTTGGCGAACGTCCCGGAGCCCGGGGGTCGGGCAACCTACGGCTCACGTGGCACGCCAAGCAATTTCCAATGGCACGCAGCCGCAAATAACAGCACGAAGTCCGAACCACTAACGCAGATATTTAGCTGTTTCAAAATTGCTCACTCCTTGAACTCACATTAATAATGAAAACTTTAAAAGAAACTTTTAAAAACAGTTTATTTCTATTAATGCAGTTTACATATTATTGTATATATTAATATATAAAATATATTGTACAAATATTTACACGGTAACTGCTACGACGAGTTATTTTCGCTAGTTCCCAAACTGCATGAATTTAAACGTGCAACTGGGTCGGCTACTCAGTCCTACCCATTCACTGTCGAAATAGCTAAATGTAGCTGTCTCTTTTACTCCAATAGCTTCATGCCTCGCAATTCCCATCTGTGGAACTCCCTTCATCTTACTTGCTTCCCTGATAGCTATAATCGCCAATCATTCAAATGCAATTTCAATAATCTTCCGATGCCTTGATCACCGTCCTTCTCTTCATCCTTTCCTCTTTCACGCCTTTTTACTCTTGCTCCCATTCTCTGTAACCCTTTCCCTGTTAGTGACGCTCCCGCCTTCATTGGGGTGAAAAGCTTAAAATAAAAAGACCAGGTATATTGACCTTGTCTTGTATAAAAATATGTACGCTGCTTTGCACTGAATGATTATAAAACCCTAAGTCGGCACATGAGCAGCAAAAGGTTGCGGCTCCTTCCGATGCCCATTACGTTCATAGGAGCTGGTTTTGAATTCAGTATTTTCCGTGTCCTTGACTCGTTATTACCTCATGTTATGAGAACCCAATTAGCGCAACTATTTAATCCATGCCCTGTGAGAGCAGAGATTGAGTAATACATTTGCCTTCCTAAGTGTATTTGTGCGAAAGGGTAAGAAATTCGAATTCTGTACGTCATTTTCGTTTTTTCGGGTTGCTAACCGTTACAAAAACAGCGTTTCATTAGAGCGAAATATATGATTAACTCGCGCTGTCAAATCCGGCAGGCAATAAGAAAAAGGCCGTGTATAAACGTTGAGTATGCCAATCAAGATGGAAACGCGATAATAAAAAAAAATCCTCATTTTAAAAAATTCAGACAAAACATTAAATCTAGGTATTATTAAAGGCAAGAAAGAAAAAAAAGAAAAAAAAATGTCTGCCAAGCGACAATAAATTCAGGCCACTGGAAATTGATTTCGATCGGGAACAGGTGATACCGAAAAAATTAATTGTAAATCGAAAATATTCAGGTGAGAATAATGCTTTTTTCTATTGATTTTACTGCGTAACAATAATGTTTACTCACACATATTAACTTATTTTTTTTGTA